TTTTAATGGCATTTTTACTATATTTTAAAAATACATACAGATACATATTTTTGTTCCGTATGGACAGTCAGCTTAAAAACAAATCATCAATTAAGCTTATATTACACTAGTCACTAACGACCAGTTGAAGAGAAGTTATTGAACCCACAGCCCGCTCTATTGGTTTTGTACGTTACTAATAGTATTATAAATAATATAAATATATATATAGTATAGTAGAACGTTTTCATTATAAGACCAAAAAATTATATACATAATTATAACTGATAACAAGTGTACGTCTTATCGATTACTAGACATTAAATATTGACCAGGTTGGAGGAAAATATTATATGACATTTTATTTTTAATTGAGGATAAAAAATATGATATATTGCATCAACTAGTAACAAGGAAAAAATGAAGGTTTGATATAAACTAATTTCAAATAATAGTATGTGTTCTTTAACTGCAAAATTCTGATATATTAGATTCTATACTATACATCTCAGCGACCTTGCAATAACAGACGGCTACCCTATACATTTATTCGAGTCGAAAGTGATAAATTTACAATCTGTTTTCTTAACACAACAATTCACAATCTGCTCATAATGTAGTAGTGGTGCAATAGAATTACTGATGTACAATTACAATTTCGGACAATGCTTAAGAACGAACCCCAGCAGTTTCATTCGCCAGTCACAAACTAGTAATTCAAGAGCAACTGACCCGGGGGGTTTCAATTGCTATATCTACATGAATTTGGCGCCAACCTGGAGTGTCCGGCTTTTTAATAGCATGTACATTTCAACCCGTCAGTTTTTTTTATGGTAGACCTTTGACGCCAGACTGCCTAGCGTTCTCGTCTAAAGTGATAAGATAGGTCCACACAATTTGTTTTTCCCAAAATCTAAATTTTTACACAACGAATGTGATAAATACAAATTTTGCGATTAATCGCCTTTTATGAGTTTTTTGACACCCATAAAAAATATGTTGAAACTGTGATAATCTAATTTTTCCAATCTATAATTTTCGTATAATTATAATAATTAATAAAATAATTATATTTCGTATAATTATATACGTTATAAATAATTTATATACTTTAAGCACATTTACCATTCTTATAATAATAATAATACTTTTATTGTTTTAATTATTACTATTATTTTTAATCATATCCATTAAGTAATACTAAATAGTACTTAGTAAGCAATACTTATTTTTATAATTATAGTTATTTTTAAATCACCATTATTATTTTTAACAACTTTATGGACATGAAATAATCCCTCGCGTGATTAGCGACGTACTCCACCCTCTACAATTACTATAATAATTAATGCCCCTTTTCGCAGTCAACGCGGTTATTTTAAGAGGATGTCAGTCCAGCGATTTACCGGCACTAAAACATGTTTACTTTAGTTGATAATTAGTGGCTCTTAATTGATATTAATGCAAAAATACCTATTAAATTATTTAAAGAAAACAATATTTTGAAGGGCGTCTTAAAACCATTTTTTCGAAAAACTCATTTTTTTAGAAGTTGCAGGGTTTAAAATTGACAAATATTGTATTATTTTAAAAATAAATTAATGAATGTCCTATTTGGAATAACAAAAAAGGGCTTCGAGGTGCCCTCAATAATGCTGGTTTCTTTAATTTTGATTATAAGGTTTTTTGCTCTAAAATCACTCAGTAAGCCGTATTTTTGGGTCTAAAAAACTAAGTTTTTATGGAAACATTTTTTTTAAATCGCTGTCCCGGATGCTGTGATAGTCCGAAAAATAATTTAATTAGGGGGTAAGGCAAACGTTATTATAAGGAGCCCTGGCCCTTCGGCGATGTTCTACGGCCTCCTCGTACACCGGATCTTTTCAACTTGAGACTTCTTCCTTTGAAGCTACCTAAAACCACCAGTGTATGAAAAAAGGCCAATAACACTGGAAGATGTAAAGGCCGCTATTTGCAACAAAAAAAACTATCTGCTCATTAAAGTAGACGCCAACTCCAGGAAGAAACTTCAACCTTATGTGGACGAAAATGGTCATCACCTCAAAAATGTCAATTTCCGCAAATAATATTTTAAAATGGCGTGTCATATTTATGTTTCTAATAAAAAATACCTTTTTTTCCAAAAAAATTGACGGTGGGCTGTTTACTTTAAAAAAGGTCTTTAACCACGTCAAACCCTGTATTTCAAGCCAGACAGTGTTTGGTGCGCTCTATAGTTGAATTTATGAAATTTTCAATAAGACATTATAGAAACAAGTTTTACCCTATATCTTCTTCTTAAGTAGACTTGTATGGGGAAAGGAACACAATATAAGTAGTTTTGCGGTGGGCGTTGAATAGGTAAAGAGACTGCGCGTCAATATCTTAACAGTGATAATGATAAATAAGTTTAAACAAATTATACATTTTCTTATCGTAACACGATGTGATACCTATTATATTAATGAAAACAAACGTATTGCACATTTTTCTTTTTTTTTTTAATTTCGAAAAAAAAACCCAAACGCGTTATAATTTGATCTTACTATTCTATAATATTAATATTATGTTATGCAGACGTGGTATTGTCTTGGTGTACCATTCACTGGCAGTCGTCAGTTTTTTAGCTGTGTTACCACAACGAACGGGTCAAGGATTATGATTTTATGCGTAGCAGAAATTATTTTATACCGTCTAACACGGCGCACTATGTTTGTGTGTGTGTGTGTTAGTACGCCATACATACGATTATGTATAGAAAAGTAACGGTTTTTAAATAAATAAAAAAAAAGTTAAAAGTCTCCGACAGTTTAAACGCGTCGGGCATTTTTTTTTACACACAACTATTTGAACCACTCGAAAACGGTCAAGTGCCTGTATTTGAAAGTTCATGTTTACCGTTTAAAAAAAACTCAGAATAGTCAATGTACGCATAAATAAATCAAGCCAAAAAATTTCAGCAGAAAGGTCAGATCGCATTTAGTTTTGTTGCTATTTTTTTTTTTTTTGATACGCTACCAAAACGCATAGTGTAAACAAAAACTATAAGCATATACAAAATTTCGATTTCTTTAAAACTCGTCTTAAGACTTAAACTCGAATCGAGCTAAGCCGTTCGCCTTCTTTGCATTATAAATTGTTTAAACATTTATTGTGTTGTAAAGAAATTGTTATCACATCACTGTAAATTATGCTGACGTGTGTTGAACTTGTTTAAAACCGCGGATAGCCTGTTAATGTTCTACTAGATAACGGCGGATGCAAGTCCAGATCAACCATAGGTAGTTAATAAATTAATCGATTCCTCGTGTATCAAAAAAAAACTGTACTAAAAAAAAAAGAACTATATAGAATAACAAAAATGAGATCAGTTTTGGGTTGTTGTTGCGAAGCATTATATTTTTTATGTAAAAACAACATATTATCTAATTGGTTTTTATTTTTCTCATGAATTCTCACATAATGTTCGACTATAGTAATGCATCCGTATTGTCATATTATTGATCTGATATACCGTTTGAAAAGTTAACTGTTCAGTCTATCGCCAATTTTGAAACTTTTTTTTAATTATGTCTTATCGTATCTGCTAATACCAAAGCTCACCCGATTTGTTTAGCCTGAGACACTAAATCTTTTAATCTCCGAGCTCATAACAAGTTTACAAGACTGTGCTCTGTTATCTCTCTCTCTCCGTTGGCAGCTAGTTAAGGTTAAATCAATTATAACGGTTAACGTACAACTGCCATTGATCAATGGCAAATCATTAAGCTAAGATATGTATACAGTCAACAATAATAATTAACACAAAAAAAGGCTACGATCACAGACTGGCCGTGACGTCTAACGAAAATGTTTTATACATATATAGCAACGCCATTATTTTTAGCTTTTTACGTTAACGATCGTTCATTTGTCAGGGTAACTTAAGCGTTAACGAAAAAACAATTTATCGACAAGTGTAATGTGTATTGAAGCGAAGAAAGTAGTGGAAAGTTGAACATTTTCAATGTGTTTATCCGGTCATCAAAATACTTCCGGTTGTTTATCAAAAATCACACGTTATCTCGCACTAAAATATTGCCTATGTTGTTGTCATCTGCGGCTTCGATTAATTATACCTGTCACGAACAGATAGGGTTAGCAAAAGCCATTATAGCTTTTGTTTTTTGATCAAACAGAAACCACAACAGAGAAACGTTTTAATCATAATAATCCTGCGGGTAAACCCAAAATGACTCCATCGTTTAATTACATTATACATTAGTTTTACCTTTTCAGAAACCGATTGTATTTTTTTTTTTTATAAACTGATAACTAGATTAGAATATATTTATTTTATAAAGAATAGCGATTAGAATATTACAAAATGATACATTTTTCAGTAGATATTCACAAAAAGTTCTTTTTTGCTTTTTCAGTAGAAAATATTTCGATAACAATTTTACACAACAAAAACCCGAGTGACAGATCACACAATGTACCGTCCTCGACCCGGTAAAAAAAAAAACAATAATTCATAACGAAAATAATAACCTACCTTAATTTTTTTTTTGGGAAGGGGGGATTACCACAAACATATACTTTTTTTCCGGTTTAATTAAATTCTTCTATCCCGTTTCGACAACCTATTTTTGTTTTATCATAACAATATCGAATATAATTATTATTATCTGTATTTCTCCCCCCCCCCCCTTAGCCGTACAACGCACATGGTCGTGACGTCACTGGTCGTCCACGTTTTTTACCGCGTGCAGACACACCTCCCCCCCCCTCTCCCGGACACGTTACAGCAGATGTGTCGCCTCACATGTTCTAGAACTTCTAGTATTGTTAGTGTTATTGCTATAGAGTAGAGCATAACATAGGCACACACGTCGACGGCACTGTACGCGGTGTACTCGGAACGACAAAACGATAACACACACACAAACGAATAGGTATTATAACATCATGTCGTGATAACCGTTTGGAGTCGTCGTTGAAAATAAAAAAAAACATTAATATTATGGAATAACACTAACCTGAAGGAACTCTCCGGAAGCCCTCTGCATAGCGCGTACATGTGTGAGCGTTCGGCGGACGGTGGCAATGGTGAGAATAATGGTTTGAAAGAACGAAATAAATTCGTTAAAAAAAAAAAAATGTTTTAATTTTGTAAAAAATGACGCGTTGTCGTTGTGGCGGATAAAAACCCAACGGCGGTGGTACGGTCGGCGGTTTTGGCGGCAAAACAAACGGTTTGATCGGCTTCCAGTCTTGTCGACTCGCGCGTGAGCACCGACCGCGTTGACATGGTCGACTGGCGGCGTCGGCGGCACTCGAGTTGACGGGCAAACGCCGGCGGCTTTCGAATAGATTTTTTTATTGCAATACTATCTTCGACGGTTTTTTTTTTATCTATTTCAAATCGACGCCCGACGCCGTTGTTTACCGCACACGACAGATGTTAACGGAAAAAAAAAATTGTATAATATAAAAGATATACTATGTGTGTTGGTATGGTGGTACTTTATTGTACAGTTATCTTATTATCTTGGCGTGCATATAATAATAATTATTGTTATTTATTATTATGACGGCGACGATGATTGTGGTGCGACGCGTGCAGTGCGGTTGTGATGCGGTTACCGATCGGAACGCGACTGGCCGCCTCTTTCTAAAATGTATTATTATGATACACACACACACACACACATACTATAATATGCTCACTTCTATATACATTAATTTTGTTATACACCAGTCGCCACTGCCGAGTGCCGGCGACCACAACGCGGTCCGCCGTACTGCGAAAACATGCTATTCAGTAGGGTGTTGTATACATAGTAATAATAATAATAATAATAATATTGTTACTAGTATGTTTATGCTGGCCAGACACCTCTGCGAGCGTTGTGCATTGGATCGCGCCAGACAATACACATGTGCATGGAACAATATGCACTTTAACCGAGGCCTACTCGACCGAAGTAGCTGCACCGCTTTATGGCAATTTGTTTGGTTTAGCCCAAAAAATCCGGCTTTTCCTTATCGGCTAAAAATTTCCTATGCGCAATATACTCACGCACTTTTACTTGCGAATATACTTGACTAGTTTTCAACGTGATTATTCTAGAATTGGGTTTTTGACAAATACATTTCTTTTAGCTAAATAAACTTAAAATACTCAATTTCGTGACTTTTGGGACAAACTCACTGTAAAATTAATGAGCAATCGATGTTTGATTTTTAAAACAAAAACAAGTTTTATTCCTCAGCCCTTAGAGATACCTTCAATATCGGTTTTAATAAGTGTCCCTCGAACGTTTAACGTATCATTAAATATTCAGCGATTCCCTCAACATCGTTGGTATACAAAGTTCCTAAATTATTGTTCTTTTGCATTTCAACAATCCGCTAAATTGTTTTCTGGAAGAATATGCCATATGTGTTTTCTTGCGGGGTCGTGCTTAGGGAGTGATAACGGGGATAAGTGCGCTAGGGCACCAATTACCAAAGGTGCCACACATTTTAGGGGCGCCAAATAAGATTGCCCTAGGGCGTTAATGACAGTTAGCACGGAATTGTGCGTAGGCCTGATTAAGTCAGGCTTCAATCTTAGATTGCGACCCGGTTGGTTCGATGTTTACTATTGAACTGAGCGGATCTGTTACTCCATAATATACTATTGTATAGCTCCCCCCTAATTCAATAGCTGCTTTTCGGCGCCGTCTCAGTTGTGTATCGAATTTTCGGGCACAAACGGTCCAGCTGAGGCTGGTATTCCCTAAGACATTTGTAAAGGGGGATGGGGCGGGAAATGGTTTTGGAACCAGACGGTTTTATCGTGGACTGAAATGTTTCTCGGGTCTTGTCTGGAACCGCATTCCGTTGATTACTGTACATTATTTTGGTGGCAAAACGTGCACGCCAAGACCAAGACGACGACGGCGACAACGAAAGTCCACCTGTCCCCTTCGCCATCAGGTTGGGCTGGAGAGGAGGAGAACAGCGTCGCGACGGCCCGGGCAAACGGGGGGTAGTAGTTGCAGGATAGACGGCGGCATGTTTTCATTACCACACCGTTATCTGCGTTCTCTGCTCATTCAGCGACATCGTTACTTTGGCGTGGGAGTGGAAAAAATGTCAAAAGGCCGTCGAACCAGCCGGAAGGGCTCGTGCAAAACCTAATAAAACAACTTTGATGTTTTAAATAATTATTGTCCGTTTCTGCTTCGGACCGCCTACTCGATCGATTGCCGCCATATTTGTTCATAAATACTTAATCCGAAGGTGAACTATAAAGTTCAAACTACACTTGACGTTGTAAAAATAATTATTGTGTTTACTACAAGAATGATGGGCCAGGTTCACCGGCACCCAGGAGTGTGTGTGTGTGCCTGCGCTTGTTGCCCGCTTTCTTTGTTCTGTATTTACGCGTCATACACAATATATTCAACTATATCAATGAGATAGATTTTAGTTTTTTAAGGCTCAAAAAATTATTAATTATTTAGGTTATTTTCTGGTATTTTAGTTGTAAAAGAATATGAAGAAAAATGTTTTCAATAAGAAAAACAATAAAACCGTAATTATTTTCTAAGAAAATTAATGTCTCACGTGAAATCGGTAGACATGTTTTCAATTGCTTTACTTGTGCATTCGAAATCAAGATACCTTTGCTTTGTATTCAAACCATGAGATTGTTATTATATTATGTACGTAAAACCACATTAAATGTACATTTGAACGCTTTAGAGGAGCCCAAATAAATTGAAGTAAAAAATTAAAGCAATATTTTATAAGAAATCCAAGTCCAATCCAATACGATTGGGAACAGTTATAATAATGTTTCTAAACTTATTCCAAGGTAAAAAAAAACTATTTTTTAACGGTAAATATTTTATTGTAACCATTAGATACACTATAATCGACAACAAAACATTGGTCTCCTAATAATGTTTGTTTTTATCGTTTTCCGCTAATGAACCACACCCTATGTAAAGCCATAATAGTGGACGGTGGTATACTAATAAAAGAAAAGACACAAGAGTTTTCAGATGGACAAAATGAATTAAATATTAATTAGACGCGTTTTGTATCGTAGCCAGCTGCTGATATTTTGAGATTAATTTTTCTACCAAAGTTATGTATACTTGTGAGTTATGGTTTTTCTGATATACCTACAAGGATATATCAGTGCGAAAAGGCGTCTGCCTTACCGTGAAAATGACACCGAAATCGCACATAATATTGAAAACGGTCAAAGTATAAAATAATATACTATTTGTTAAGAGTTGAGCCGGCACTTACAAATCTGAATATTTGGTTGGATAGTCATATCGTTATCTGAAAATTGATATCTATTAAATTCGCCAAAAAAACAATGAGTGTTAGTAGATAATGTCAATAAATAGCATTTAACAAAATCGATTAACGAACCGATATCAATGCAAATAAACTAGATATAATCATTAATTGTTGTGAATTTTTTTTTAGCATTTAAACTTACAGTGGTTATCATGTTGATAATAATTACTAAGAGTCCATAGAGTTTTTTTTTCTTTAATAATATAATATTAGGCAATTCATGTACTATTAATATATTTCTATATATATATAGATTTTTTTTTTGATAAGGCTTCAACTACAATAGTTATTACTTATTAGTTATTAGCATAAGATTAATTTAATAATTTTTCCATGTAGTATTGTTATAATATAATCCGTATTGATTTTATTGTTTGTAGTTTTACAGCTGTAGCCTGTAGCCATCTTATAAAGAAGACCTGCCAATTAGTCTATCGAGAAATATTTTGTGTTTGGACTTTTTAACCCTAAATTCGTTCTAACCGATATTACTATTATGTTACATAAGTCTCATTATATTGGACAGGTATCAAGCGAGACCAATCAACGAAAATTATGTAAATCGACCAATAAACGGTGTAACTAGTGTACAACCGGACCTTTTCTTCTCACGTATGTGATATATGTTTTATAATACCTATTTCAAGGACAAACATTTTTTTAAAGAGAAACGAACTGTCTCGTGTAAACCGATTACGGAGAAAAATACATAGTTGGTCCAACTATGATTATGTTTAATATAGGGACACTATAAATTTCTAGTTAGTATAACATTTAGTTGGCCCTACTTTTTATTTAGTTATTCTAATTAGAAATGTACTGTGTCCCTATATTAACCATAATTATAGTTGGACTATGTATTTATTTCTGTGAATACAGTATATTATTTAACCATAGAATAACCAGAATAGATACTTTTCAACACGCATAACACGGGTCGTTATGCGGGTAGATTTGCTACATTGCTGTGAGAATGGTTTAATAAATCTTTTATAACTGGTTAGAGCTGAAAAGCTCACAGACGGGGTACAGGTGAGTAGGGGTCAAACCCGATTTGGAACTTCTGACTCTTCTGGTTATTCTGTGGTTTAACCATATGCTAACCAATGTGATATTCAGTGAAAACTGATGATGATGCCACACGGTTTACACCGATGTATCAAAATAAGTAAGATAACGCATGCCGAAAAACTACTCACCTATTTTCTTTTAAAACGTTTACTTAATATTTAAATTTGACAAATTGAACGTTAATGGTTGTAGCCGCACACGAATTTTGACCGCGAAAATCCTCCTCTCTTTCTACGACGATTGGCGACACGTGATATGCACGACGTTGCCTACTCGTGATAATTCTTAAAAGTATGGCTTATTATATTAACTTGAAACAGGTACAATATAATATTACAGTCCTACAACGGATAGGACCCGATCAGACTGCGGTACTCGGCGCAGTCAAAGTCAAAATAATGTAAAATTATTGTACAGTGTAATCTCGGTCGGCTCGAATAATAATAATAATATCAAGAGAACCGGTTTTGCAACGTCGCCGTACACAACTATACCCGAACGGAGATCAAGTTTAGCCTTTTTATCCATTTGAATCGGCTGATATCGTTTCGCGATAATATTTAATAATAATAGTGTTTGTCATCTATGACCGAACCAATTTGATCACACGCCACACGGTTGCTTCGTGATTCTGTAATAGCTGTCGAGGGGGTCTTAAAAGACAAGGCATACTTTTCACTTGGTTTTCCTACGCACCACCTGTGACTTTTAGGTTTCGTACTTACGGGATTTGCCAAGACTTAAACCGCAATACACCTTTTGGAGTTTGGATAACTATAATTCGGGTGGAGGGCGTTGCCGCGTGAAACCATTCTTCAGAAAATTATGAAAACATTACACTCAAAAGAAAAATAACAATACATTTTTAATAAATTGTTTTATCAACCCTTGATAAACCGTTTTATTGTAACGAAAAAAAAAAATTATCAGTTAAATAAAAATAATTATTGCCTTGATACGAATTTTATTAAATTGATAAACAAACAATTAATGTTTATTATAGATACAATGAATTTTTCGATTGCTGCGATAAAATATTTGTTATAACAACAATTCATTATTATGACGATAAAAAATTTATAGGGTCAATAGCAATTAAGTTTTTATTAATATGGTTTTTTATTGAATATAACGTTGGTTTTTTTTTTGTGTAAATAACCGAATTAATAGAATTCAGGTAAACAACGAGGGTATAAAATGAAATAATTAGTATTCAATTTAATATTATGTTTTGGAATACAGCTGAATTTATTTTTTAATAACATAATATTATTTGTTTGGTACATCTTGTATTATAATAACTCCGGGAAAGCGTGTTGATGGTATTTACATTGTACCGTTTTCGGATATTGAGTATCCTTGTATACCATACACCAATATACCAAGTACAAAAATTACAATTACTATACCAATTACTATCCCAAGTGTATACTTATACAAGTATAAGACTATATTATCGAGTTTATCGATTAAGAAAAGCAAAACTCTTGAAAACTACTCCTTCTGTAAAACTATATACGAGTAATAAAGTTTTAAAATAAACGAATAACGTGTAAATTCTTGACGCTTGCTTAAAAATATCATCATGTTAAATTGTGTGGACTGAAAGTATACCACTAATTATTGCCATCGAGTACAGTGTAAGGACACGTGCAGATTCTGAGTTGTCGCCAATATCTGATCATTACATAACCATAGCGAGACATACGATTTGTAATACGGTTGTGTACACAATATGACTTTGGTGTATTTATTTATTATTATTAATCGTTTTAATGAAAAAAGGCTATTAAAATATTATATCAAATAGACATCGATAACGATAGCCAAACGAATGACTTCAGCGTGATCGAACATAACTTTGGTAGGCTCGGTGAAAGGTTTATCTAACACATTTTGCAACCCTAATATTACTATTCATTTTAGACTATACTGATCATTTGATATGAACAACCCAGAGTGAATTGCACATTTGGACTTAACAAATCCGGATAGGTTGTAATAAAAATCATCGTTCAGAGTGAACCTATGCCTGGCCGAGGCTTTATATCGGTCCCATTCCCATGCATCGGCCTCGCTGCTACTCGTACAATAAAATTAAACAATATTACATTATAATTTATGATACGATTTTCGGTTGTCGATGCTCACAGTGTCATGAGTCTTGTGATTGTGCTATTTCAACAAATGTAATCGGTCGGCCTGTATTATTAATACCTAACAAACCGCTTATAGTCCAAACGCGTTTATCGTACGACGGCAAACAAATAAATATAGGTTGTTGTTTCTCGTTTACATATTTTCCGGAGAAATTGAAAACAAATAAATCTTACCAAATGTTGTTATGTTTTACATAATATTTATAAATATAAAAAAAACGAACGACTGATTATGCGTAAAACTATTTTTAAACCGCATTGGCAGACAAAGCGTTAAAAATGTTTGTTACAAATTGTTGGACTTCGACAGACTCGTGTGTTTGATTACCTACCGTTATGCTTACTATTTAACAGCCACAATAATATAATGTAACATGAATAATATTATGCCCGATAAACATTAATACTGTACTTTAGAGACATACACATACACAGCTTGACCTCGAGGAATCTATTCTCGACTATTCCTCGGCGTTTTCAATAAGAAATCAATAACAATATAAATTATTTATAATGGTAATCTCAAAAAAAAAGGCAGAGGAAAACTGTTACCTGTTTCAATGTTATGCAATTATTAGACTCTACTTGTAAAATACTTGTCCGTCCGAAACAGGATGTTTACAAATTACTCATGTTCTCCGTTCTAATAATATGTTATAATACACCCCACACAGTTATTTGGGCCTTTAGTGTTACAAGAAGACGTCCAAACAGGTAAATGGACGTAGGTAACCTTGCCCTTATTTCATTATTATTTCCCATCGGTTTTACTGGTATACTTGGAAATCATTGGCGACACTTCTTCACTTTCTATTCTTTTTATTTGGATTTTGTATTGATCCTTAGGTTTTTACTTACTTTTGTAAGTAGCCACTAGCCTTATCTGTTTTTGATTTAAACGAAACACACGATATATATTTAACCAGAGTCGAGCAGGATCATTATTTGTAATTATTGACATTAGTTAATTTATTATTGATCGTATTTATTCAACTAATCTGAAATATTAATTGTTTTTGAAGTAATACATTATTTACAAAGTATAACAGTATATATTATTAATAATTATTGTTTTAGATTTGTTGGCTTTGGTGTAACTTAGTACAAAAGGTGGTTATTTATGTTTTTATTATAAATCAACGTTTCATTATACAAATATTCAGTTATTTTTAACTTTTATAATATGTTTCATCTAACTATTATATTCTGTTAAAAACAATCGACAAGTTTCTTACTTCCTATGATCGATTATAAAGAAAGGTGAAAAACCAATAAATGCGGAAATGTTTTAATAATACAATTATTTTTTTTAAATTCATGGCTGATATTTTAAACTTTTTAATCACATTTTAAGATAAAAAATTAATGTTACATCGTTAAATAACTACATTAAACGTTAAATATGTACATCGTTTAAGTGGACTTAACCTATTTGTTTTAAAATATAATCTGTAGTCACTGATGTCTCAGGCTGATTTAGTAATACATTTTTTAAACATAAAAAAAACTGTGGTGTTTGGGTAAAGTCTATATGTTTTTATATATTTGTTGTTTTTTATTATTATTGAATAAAATCAATGTTTATTCAATTTTAATTACCACTAAAGATAACGCGTGTTTTACAATTAGGTATATTATGTAATACACTAAAACAACTCTATCTACCCGGAATTTATACTGAAGTATGAAAAATAGGCCAAAAATTGCATTTTTGATAAGTATTCTGCGAATTTTTTATACTGCTCTCATTGATAATTGTTGAGATACAAACTATTTTAAGATTATGTTGTGTAACCGACTATGTAAAAACTAACAGAGTTATGGCTGCCGAACGAATTATTATCATTATATTCGGCTACTTCCAACAAGACGCTCTTGAACTAGAATCGTTCAAGGTGAACCAGTACTACATTGTAGCCGACCACTTTGTTATATGCTTTCTATACACCATCGCACGCAGCTAAGTAGATACCTACCATAATAACTTGCCAGCTAGGTGCCCGTGAATAATGACCGTAGCACCAAATATACCTACTTAAAATGTCAGTATTATTTAACATACTGATTCAGTACTGTCAAATCCCCTTTAGATGAAAGTTGTTACAAACAGCCGTGAATGACTTAATGTGTTCAGCACCGACTACAATATATGTTATGCATAAGTCAATCTGTCTCCTTACTGTCGAGTTATCATCATTACCTACAATACTTTCATTGGTGGTAAAATAAAATGTACTAATAATTTGAGGAATAGTGGAAAATAGTTACAACAGTTAAATGTATGAAAATCGGTTAGTGCTGGTAAGAGATTTCTTAATATGCATTCCCGAAATGCATTTTTTTGCGTTACTTTCGTTGAACGGTAAATGTGAGTGTAAATGAAAACTAAAATATAAAATTCGTTAGAAAAAAAGTTTTGAGAAATAGTGAAAATATAGTTTAAACGGATTAAGATAAAAATAAAGGTCAACCATACAATCACTTAGGTATTTAAAAACCTCTTTGATACGGATCAATAAAAATTGAAGTTCATGAGCCTTAAATAATATAATATATTTGATTAAATAAATAAAAAGTAACAAAAATCGAATAATTAGCAATACACATAGTCGGTCTCAAGTCTCATTTTAATGAACATCGCCCATTCAAATTCTTATCGTTTTCCCGAACATATGGCGCGTTACATAATATTATATTAGTGAAGTTGATAATCCTAACTTACTGTGGCGTATTTATAGGGTAGGGGGGTATGGGGAATAGATCTTCCCTTTGGCCTTTTTAGAACAGTTAGAAAACAGATATACTCAAAAGTAATGTTATAGAGAAATACGGAAAATTTAACTACAAAAAAAAAAAAAGGTCAAGGGGTAGATCTATCCTCCATAACCCTCCATAAATATGCCACAGCTGACATAATATAATATATTAGATTAAATAAATATCAAATTATAAATACACAAATACTGTCACCGTAACAATTTTTTATTACTACACATTGTACAATAAATATCAAATGTATTACAAATTACACATAGTCGGTCTGGGTCTCATTTTAATTCTTCATATTCAAATTCTTATCGTTTTCGCGAACATATGACGCACTGCATAATGTTAAAATTTCTATTCTATACAGTTTAGTGTAAATTATGAACTGTCAATGGTATTATAACTCGAACAGTCGAACGTCGCCAACGTTGCTCAATGTACGGCATATTTCGTTCTAATTCTCATAAATCCGTATGGATATTTGTGCACAATCATTGTGCCTAATCAATGGGCAGCTACATAATAATATTCATGTTTCCATGCATTGACGACGAGGTTTTCGAACTGCGCAAAACGAACAGTTAAAAAAATGCAATAATAACAACGTTTGTGTTTTCATAATATAGTGATTACTAAAAGCGCTTCGAGAGCATTAATTAATGAGAGAGTAATATTATAAAATGCATATGGTACGAATCAGCAAAAAATTAAAAATATAAATATTTTTACAGTTTTCGTCAGTCGTTTATTTTGAACCAATTTTTGAAAATTTGTCTGATACAATTAATACTATGTTACTCAAACATAATAATGTTGGGACATTTAGGTTAAAATATATACACTTACTTGAAAATCCCTTTGTTACGGATCAATAAAAATTGAAGTTGATAACCCTAACATAATATAATATACTAATAATGAATAATTAGCAATAAACATTTAGCAACACACGGTCATTAAAATTCTTGTTTTCCCGAACATATAGCGCGTTATATACGAGTAATATTATATTTTCTATTATATTCAGTATATAATATCATAAAATAATGCAAATTAAGAACTCTCAATGTTATTTTCGTTTAAATTTCATTTAACCGTTGCGTTGGTACTTAATGTACGGCATAGTTCATTCTAATCCCTCATAAATCCGTATAGATATTTGTGCACAATCATTGTGACAAGCCTAAATAATAGTATGAATACACTTGTACATTCGTAGATCTGTGCAATGAAAATTTGTATATAATTATTAAAATTGAAATACATTAAATATAATAGGTTTTTATTTTAACGTAGATAATATAATAAAATATATTTACAATAGGTAGTTTGATTTTTAAATTATTTTAAACTTAAGAGGACCATTGATTAAGTTTTGTCAGTGCTTGTTGTATCTGTTCTTGGTTTTTGTTGTTGGTTTCGGGTATGAAGAACAGTATAATAACAAAACCGACGACCGAGATGACTGTGTAACCTAACCACAGAGCGATCGGCCAATTGTCGACAAAAGGAACGAATGTTTTCATGATAAAAAACGAAAGAGTCCAAGAGTATGATGACAAAATTGACTGTGCAATATTTTCCCGCTCCGATCCCAACAGTTCACTGGTCATGAACCAAGGTATGGGCCCCAGGCCAAGCCTGAAAAATGAAATGTACGTGCATACGATGAATACCGGCATTATTTTCAAGAACGAATTGGCCAGCAATCCTGAAAAATAAAAATAAAACATAATTACATTTTGTGTAAACGTTAAAATAGAGAAAACGCAGAAAGGGTAAAAGCATTGATCAACTGGAAGCCAAGTCTAAAATGTAGACCAAAGAAGCGATGGAGGAATAAACTAAAAGAGGACACGGAGTAACTAGGTATAATTGGGATAAATATATGTATTCATAATAGGAAGGCGTGGGAGGATTTCGAAGGAGCCGTAAAGGATCTTATTGACCGGTAGAGCGAAAGAAGAAGAAGGAACATTAAAACACATTCAAATTAAATGGCTAGACATCTAATAATGAAGTGTTTTCTATAGATTCCTATAGCTATACATTTATATTTATAGCACTAAAACTATTTTAAAACTACTGTACTCAGTAGAGGTGTCATTTCATTTTTTCTATAGAAGATAGTTAAAATCCACCGTTTACCAAAAGTTAGAATACTTTATACTGCTTTGAGCTTTGCAATTGAACAACTGAGAATTGCTAGCAGGTCATTCAAATATAGAAGAAATAATGAAGACAGAATGTGTCTGTTCATCCAAATATCATGTTTAATGTCACAGTAATAACCGACGGCAGTCACATAACACATTATTACCGGATAAGCCAATTGTACAAGATGTAGAGTGCTGAGTGCACTAAGGCAACGCCTTCTTACCTCCACCTAACCAAACCTTTCATTAATTCCTAAAGATTTAACGTTTAAATATATTTTTTTTAATTGTTTAATACGGTCAAAGTTGGGTTTTACCTATTTTCAAGCAATAAAAGTACAAAGTGAGCATTGCAAGACACACGACCACTACTGACGACGAGGCGAGCAGTAATTTCCTCCGACCTACTCTGTCGACCAACAAGATGGAGGCGCCAGAAGCTAGAACTTGGAACGTGCCAGTTATTATAGATGCTGTACTGGGTTCGATACTGGATCCAGATATTTTGAACAATTTCACAATATATTGTATGATGGCTCCGGCTCCAGACAGTCTTTGAATAGTGACAAGAGCGATCGACAGGACGATGGCTTTAGCATAAATTCGTCTGGAATATTCAAATTACATGGTTATTAAATATTAAGATAAACGCTCTTCAAATAAAACAAATTAATTGAACGCTACAAAATTGACAGTTGAAGTGTTCGTCAATGCTCAGTCATGATTTTTTGCCAGAGGTAAGGCACGGTGTGCAACCAGAACATCTTGAACCGTAGTAAGACTTAAAAAAAAAGACATCAGAGGTTGTGCAAATTACTTTGAGTAAAACCCGTTTATATCGGTTGACGCCACACGAGAGGCGTTGTCGATTTCACCTCGAATTTTCGCGTAGGTATCAAACTGCGCCATGACGTCGAAATCTTCACCGTACAGCCACCTGAAAACCGGACGGCCGATTAACACTCAACATTATACATTCGACTGCTGCGAATTTGACATTTACTTCAGAGAAGTTCTGGCCTCTTCGTAGCGGCCCGCGTGGTACAGGTAAGCCGGCGATTCCGGCATGAACGCAAACAGGATGGCGAACACGACGGGTATAAGACTGCAAGTCAACGAAAACATAGACAGCCCGACGACCGCGCTGATCATGTACGAGTACAATATTCCCACACACAACATAAAATCCAAAAACACTCCTCCTCGGCCACGGCAAGCGTCAGAGGCTATCTCTTGATTGTACAAAGGTACGGCCACGGTAATTGCTCCCACTGCCAAACCACACAGGAGTCGGCCGGTGTAAATTATGTTCACCTGCAAATAAGAACACGCCACGTCAATGTCTGTAGTGTGCGGCTTTGTAGGTTTACCGCGTTTGTAATTATTGTTATTTTTTAGCATCGATGCGCAGCTGAGAAGGTATTGTTTTTACAATGATGTGTTTTTATTATTTTTTTTTTTTTTGTGTCTGGACCCACGATATCTCGTAAACCGCTGAACCGATTTCTTCGTGTAGCAACTGCATAGATTAGAAATCGTACCTGGAAGGTACTTAATCGGGCCAAAAATTTTAAAAAGTCACCCCTTCCCCATCAAAATCGAGAAAAACACCTAAAAAATGTACAAATTTTTCAACTTAAAATTACAATGCTCTATAAATTTTTTAAAAATAGTCGAAAATGTTCCACATTTATATGAACTGTTCTTCAAACATAGTACTATCGACAAACATTAAAAAACCAAAAAAATATCATAAATCCTTTCCCTTAGAAGGGATAGAATTTTTTTTCTTTACTTCACTTTTTCAAGCAAAGTTTTAGAGATTTAGATCTGAAAATTAGACCAAAGGTAGATCTAAAATGGAACTATAACATATACAATTTTCTCAAAAATCTGAAGTGAAATTTTTTTTTAAGGAAAAACCCCAAAAATGGGGTAAATTTACACTTTGGCCGTAGTCAGTTTCTAGGTTGCTATGTGCGAGTGAGTCAACAGTCAACAGGTAATGAAAATATTTGTATTATATTGTTAATTACGATATATGGGTAACTATGGCAATACATTTTTATAGACAGACGATCAACCCTTATCGTATCCATCCTGCATAAGACTAAATATTATATTTTAAGTACATTATTGCTGGCCTCACGATATCTTCTAAACCGCTATAACTGGTTTGAACATACTATCCACAGATTCGCATCGAAGCGTTTATTTAAAAGTGATTTTATCACTTTCAGTTATAATCAAATCTGTAGACCTGTGACCTCTCCGTCCCCACTTTGCCTTGACCCCACTGTACTGGCTTTTTTTACTTAAACATTGATAATTGTGTATTTATTTGATATCATTTCTATTTACATTGTCGTCGAACGCCATGATAAGAGCCCATCCGAGTGACATTGGAATGGCGAGCAGTAGAAGAAATTTTTTCCGGCCAATCGACTGCGACATGTAACCGGTCGGTAAAGCTCCAACCAACGATCCTATAACGTAAATCGAAACTACCCACGAAGACTCTGCCTTGGTCAGCATAAATATGGTTTCGCCTACTACCGAAGGATTTGCGGGAGCCGACCATCCGGCGACCACCGTACCCGAAGCGAACGACAGTATGGAAGCTGTTAAAAAAAAAATGATTGAAAATAAAATAAAATACAAGATAATAGTAAGTACTCACCGACAAAACTTGCCAACAGAGGACGGCAGGACGAATCATTTTTGCCACTAAGTTTGCCGTTAGCGAGCAACGGATGTTTTTCGCCGAAAACCATTTGACCGGTCGAGATGAATTTGAAATGCACTAATTACTAAAAGCAGACCCAAATATATCGTTTAAACTCAAAAATCAAGACTAATGGCTAATCACAAGGGTATACGTAAAGGCACGGTGAAGGGATTTTTAAGAGGCCTTATATATTTATTTGGTACCTAAGTAGTGATCACCTCTTAAATATTGTAGGTAACCGTGTTATTTTTACCATTTTTTTTTTTAAGTCACTGATATTAATTAAGTATATGTATATATAAATAAATAATAATTAAACATTGTGTTAATCGAAGCTGTTAAGTATTTAAGAAATTATTGTATTTAATTTTAATTAAGATACGATATTTAAATACAAATTAATTAAACATTTTGTAATTTAAAAATATCGTTATCAGGTATTATCATATTACTATTTTTCCATGATATTATTTTTTCCATTGGATACACAACAAATCTCTCTAGCTCTTTTTAACGATATCGACCCTCGAATCACTCTCTACTGCCAGTCCATTTTTTTATAGGTCTAAGAATGTTTCTAATACACTTACAGTAGTATAAAGCAAGGGCAAAAAATGTCACACAATTGGTAAAAAAAAAAATGAAATTCCGGACTTTAACTAACACTTATTGTTTATCATTCGAGGTTTGACCAAACTATTATTTGTATATCCTAGGTTTTACTAAAATCGAGGTAAAATATACTTACTCACTGAAGTCGGGACAATTATTATTAAGTCTACTGGTAAAATATAAAATACAAGGCCGTTTTCTGGCCTAGTAAACGATATAATGTTATAGTTTAGGATTTTTTTTTACGTTTTATTTATAGGTTAATAATGGACTTGTTGATCGTATATTGTGTTTCGTACATATTTAAATTATATTTACTCACATTTTTTCGGTATCGTATGGCAATATTACACATCCATCGTGACAAAAAAAGTACAACAATTAACGGAAAATGTTTATTTAATGATTACAATGCGTTAGGTATTTAAATAGCGATTATTTTCTTCTTAAATTGTTATCTAGTGTCTTTCGTATGCAGCTGTTGTTGACTGCGGTTCTCCATACCGTACTGAGCCGACCGACTGGCTTCAAGCGTTAGCACGACAAACTGGTACACATAATACCCGTTTTTATTATTATCAAAAACCCGTTTAAAAAACCTGTTCAGCCTTTCCCTCCTGTACATTCTGCCACATTGCACGGTGCCTTTTTCTTATAAATTTAGCCCATAGGTCAGTTTTTTAAGTAACAAAGTCCATCAAAATCACTCGTTGAAATCCTAATGTTATTACAATTTTACCCAGCACGATTAAATTTGAAATGCAGTATGGATTTTACTTAATTTCGTGTCCTACAAAACTCCTCTTAACATACGAGTATGATATTGATGTGTGCCACAAAGAGCGTACAAAATGTATCATTTAAATTATGTTTGAAAACATGCACCGCCAAATGTTAATAAACGTCACTTGACCACTCACCTTCATTGTATTGAATATTATTGCTGTATTTATTAAATTATAAGTAAAAAAATAATGATTTTTTTTGTACTGTTTTGTTACACTTGTACGATTAACGGTTGATTTTGAAATGGGCAAATGCATTTCTCTTTTTAGGAACAATAATATTATATAACTATTATAATAATACATGTATAGTAATCGCGTGGGGTCGTCTGCCCACCATTCTTTATCGACATCATTTACTGTTTACACCACAATTATGTACGATTAATTATTATACCGTATCAGTTCATTTTGGTTTACTTGTTGTAACAGTTTTCAATTTTTTATCAACGATTATTGATAAAATAAAATTAAACAACAACAATCAAATGTACTTTGATGGTGCGTGGCTAGATTGACATTAGAAATAACTAATACTTATACATCAAATATTTTTTATTCATAAATAAAAAACGGTAGGTAACCTTTTGCCCGATTAAGATAGTAAACGCGACCAATCGTTTTGAGATAAAAAAATATAACCGTTTAATCTCATTAACCCTAAGTTTAGGCTTAATTAGATTTTACCGCAATAAAATATAACGTTATACTAATCCGATTAACTAATAAAACCGTCCTTGTTTTGTGCCATTTCAGTGAAGTGCTTTGAATTCGAAGAAACAATATTATAATATTATAAACCAATAAACGGATGTATTATAATAATTCGTGAACAGATAATTGTATAGCTTTCCGAAACGTTGCAATGGAGATAAGCAATTGTAAAAATGACGAACGTATATTATTATTTTTGCAATCAGTTAAGCATCAGTAAACGAAAATACCATACTACCGACAGCCGTGTCTACTTGGTATTTTCGGAAAATCTGGTAAATATTTTGGGTCTTTTATTTTTAACAAAGACTGCGTTTAAATCCAAATGATTTGTTTGTAAAACTCATATTTCGACAAAAGTTAACCGCGCTGGATAAAGTACTCGTCAGTGATCAGTCAATACAAATTATATCAGTTAAAAAAAATGTATCATTGCTTAAAAAAATGCTAGGGGAATACAATATAGAACATTTTGATTTAAATATTTTAACGCAAAAATGTTCATTCGATTATAAATTTTAGTATAATTAGTCTATTTAAATTAAAGGACAACCTCTGTTTATTTTTTAATTGAATAACACAATACATTTCTTGTTGTTAAAATATATAAGCAGGCCTTATTTACGCAAGGACATTATGGGTATTTGTCCAGGACCCATGTGGATCAGGGGCCCACCTACTAGATTTAATCTTTTTAATTTAATTTACAATTAATAATTTTATTAATATTACAATAATAATAGGCTGATTTTTTTCTTTTGTCCAGGGCCTCAAAAATTCTAAATCAGGCTCTGTATATAAGTAACAACTTAACGAATTTAAATAGTATTAAAAAAAATTATCTGCGACCAAAAACAAGTGTTATTTTTGAAACAGTCAAACATGTGTGATAACTGATAACTTGTACATTTGTGTTTTTTTTAAATAATTAAATGTACCTATGTTTTTTTTAAATAAAGAATTTTGGTTATAATTCCTATTTGTAAAAAAATACAGAAAACGCGTTAGGTTTGTAATGGTTCTTTTTAATTAGGTTCCAATTGAAAAAAACAGTTGTTAATAGAAATTAAAATTCGATTACGAGATTTGATTGTCAGACAGCAGTAAAATAGTTTAAAAAGTTGTAAATGCTCGCTGCGTATAGTTTGCTTAAAAAATACTATAAAGTTTTGCCTATACATTACCCCTTAAAAAAAGTAATCGACCTAATAAATTTTTATTTAAATACTGAGAACGGGATAGAAAAAATTATTAAATATTTTGAGTGGACTTTTTTCATTTAGTAAAATAGTATAATATTGTTGACGCAAGTGATGAAATTAAATAATTGGCACGGTTTTTAGTTTACAAGATGATATATTTTACTGCAACAGATTTTTTCAGCGGCCAATAATAGTAATTCAACTATATTATTTTAAGCTGCGGTGTTTAGGCAAGTCAAGGGCATACGTCAGCCTAAACCGACTCCATGTAGTGTTTAACCACACCATTAGTTTATTTTTCGAAAATACTACAAATTATATGTACTTAAGTGTTATTTATCAGTTATGATTTGTACAGTATATCATGTTAGTTAATCGTGTAATACAACGATACAATATTGACAAAAATATACAACGATCCTATATTGACTCAAACCTCCAGGCAGAGATAAAATACTTGGATTTCAAGTAGTTGCAAACAAATTGTATTTACTTGAAAATAATATTAATATCTTGCGGTTGTTGAACTCGACCATATTATTGTCATCGTTGGACGATGTTATAAACAAGGCGTCGTCACTGTTGTATCCGTGGAACCCATTTTCATTTGTTAATAGAATATTATTATGTAATGAAATTTAATGAAAAATAAATTTAAAAACTTACTCCCGTAATATTATACAATATATATTTATGTTATGTGACGCTTAAAGGTGTGTGCTATCTTAAGTCTTACTGATGTCTTCTTTACAGGTAAATACACGTAATGAAAAATAAAAACTAACATAATTTATAAAAAGTCGACCAGTTGAAAAGGTATTTAAAGAATTACATTGTAGTATATTTGACTAGATTGAATCCAAAGTTAAGTCACAAAACAAATCACAGTTTAATTTCCTCTTCATGACTTGAAATTTATTTTTGATACAAGAAAATTACATTTTTAATCTTAGTTTATGAACAAGTCGGATTGAAAAAATAAAATTGATTTACCCTAAGCCGTTAATTAGCATTTCTTTAGTGTAATAATAATATTATTTAGTTTCAAAAATCTACTCTCTTTTATAAAATTGTTATTTGTGTAAGCCTTTTGTCTCTTGTACAACTTAATTACCACAGCTCGTTTGTTTTACGCAGGAAGTATACCAAAGACCGAGGCGCATCGATCGGCCGGTCAAAATAGACAAACAAATTTTGTTCAGACTAGCTGTGTATCTGAGGCCCCGAAGGTACACCAGAGGCGTTAAGTACATTGGACGGATGGATATGTGCTTCACCAATAGGGACGGATCGGGTTTCCTGGCCAATTTGATCAAGTACATACATTCGGTCCAGCCCGACGACGTAGCCAGGTTTCGGGCCGTAAAAATGATCGACAAATGTTACGTTGTCAAACAAGTTCCAAACGACCGTCAAGTTGATACTTGAACATTGTTACCACTCCATTTTTGTATTTAATTTGTTATCGAGTTACAATTGTACAAATTCCCTGAAAACCTTGTTTATTATTGTTTTTTTACACATTTAAAAACCGGGGAATATTGTGTTTTGTCATAAAATATTAATAACGCTATTTTTCTTTTTATATTTATAAAAAATATTTTAATAATTATAGTTATAATAATATAATTAAAATATAATAATCTACATTTGTTTTTGAATACGATAAATTTTTTGTTTCGTGATGATATATATTCTAAAACCTAATAAAATATATTTATTTATAATATATATAAATAAATAATTAATCGGTACTTAACAACATACTATAATATTTATTTACAAACATTAATCTTAACGACAAATCAAATATTACATAGTGTGATAATCCGTCAACAATATAATAGCATAATAATAATAATTGGCTGTTACGTGTAGAACCACGATTGGCAACAAAATTAGGCAGTTTTGCGCCGTTTCGACTTGAGCATAATGTAAACTGTACATAAGACTATTATCGTTGAATTCTACAAAGAGAATAAATAACATGTGCATAATAATCGGTCGTATGCAACAAAATTATTAAAATACTCGAAAAACACACTGTAACAAAATTAAAAATAATTTAAATCTAATAAACAAAGCATCATAGAGCTTGTTTAGTAAGTATTATGGAATTTACATTAGCCCTAAAATATTTTTAAAAAAATGGCCGCTAGTAAAAAACATTAATCAAACGTCAACACATTATTTTCTGGCGATTCTGGTAAACAAATGACAGAAAGTTTTGATTTGTTTTTTATAGCTAAATCCATACAATAATAATAAAAAGCAGATAATAATATATAATAATGGACTGGTCAAAGATGATGAAATATAACAATATAATGCGGTTTGAATTGACATTTTAAGGAAGATAAAAAATAATATATACATACATAGTTACTTATTCTTATGAACTGTACTAAAATAAAGATAATGGGTGTTTTGAGCAATCTAAATGAATGGGAACAGTAATAATATAGTAATATTACACTAAAACTATGGTTTCCATCAGTCAACTGTGCGAGAGACACGACCAATGCATAAAATCACAAGTTAATTTACGTAAAACAAAAATATTATAAGTAAATTTATAATAAAATCATAATGGTACATTATGAAATATATGTATATAAAATAATAATATATATTTGTAAATTCTACACAACATTGAAACACGTTAATTTTTTTGTACTCCACAAACAGAGTTGTAGAGCAAGCATTAGTATAAATATGGGACAACTAAAAAAAAAATATTCTATGATAACGAGGTTAAAAAAGGGAAATTTAATTTTTCAATTTCTAAAAACTATTATAAAAACGGTTTATAATATTTATAAAAGTATAACGATAAAATATATATTATATTTCGGCATCAAGTTTCTCGTTAACACATAGAAACTTTTGATTTGATTATTGTCATTAGTCTTGAGATTCTACTGCAAATGTTATCCGTAAAACAAAATGGAAAATTTGAGCGGAATTCATTAAAAAAAAACTGCATTATAAGTAGGTAAAGTTTCTTTGTGTAAAAAATTTGTCCGTTTCAGCTATAGATACCGAATATATAGCATTATAATGGCGTAATGCCAAGCACCCTTCGATATTAAAATAAAAAACTGTATATTCACTTAGAAACGGAAATAAAAATCACATTGCTATTTAAAAAAATAAAATATTTACGATATTAAATATTTGTTGTAGAATTAAAATAATCAAACGCCGATAGATTATAAAACCGTTTCTTGTACTCTTAGTGTTCAACCGGCCATGGAATGCAAAAATATAATTATTGTAGAAACGGTGTGGCGAGTAAGTGAACGTAATAATATTAAAATCTTATAAAAAAAAAATATAATTATATATTTATTTATAAATTTTTATCACGTAAAAATTTCGGTTAAACACGTCATTTGATTTGAAAAAAAAAAGTATAAAACAAAAAAATAAAATAAAAATAAATTAGTTTTTAAAACAAATAAATATGTTTCTCCCCCCCTTCTATATTGTATAATGTTTTTGTTTACCTCTAGTCTTGTTCAAAAATCGAGGGTAAATTTTTGTATTCAATTTCGAAACCACCCCAAGTCGATATGATTTTTTACAATATTATAAACCGTGTCCGTGTTTAAACGATTGCAGCGTGCTTGCTGGTCAGCGACTCCATCTGTTGCGAACGGTGGGTGTTTCGGTTCTTCGGCTTCCTCTTGCCGTTCAGCTCGTTTTGGATTTCCTGCAGGGTCTTGTTTTTCGTTTCCGGCACCAAGAACCACACAAACAGCGTGCCCAGCACGCAGAAACCGGCGAAAATCCAAAACGTGATGCCGTGGTCGAACCAGTCCAACAGGTTCTGGTACGCCTTGACCACGACGAACTCCAGCAGCGACGCTATCACGCACACTATGCCCAGGGCTAGGCCCTTGACGTCGGGACTGAACAGCTCTCCCATCATCACGCCGGGAATGGGACCGAAACCCAGCGAGAACGTGCTGATGTACACGCCCAGACTGACCAGCGGTATCAGCGTGAACGCCGACACGTCCACGTCGTGTTCCTGCAGCCAGAAGAAGTAGCCCAGGCAGCCCAAACACACGGCCATCACAGAGTCGGATATCAGCAACAGGATACGGCGACCGGCCTTGTCTACCAACAGCGCCGATGCGAACGTGAACTTGACCTGCAATCAAAAAATAGCACGACTATCGTTAACAACGGGTCAGCTATAAGGAGATCCTCAATTGGGCTTCTGCCAAACCGAGAATCCTAAATTGAAGCACTTGCGGCGGTTATTAGGGCTCTAGAAGAGTGTTGAGAGCTGACTTGAAAACCAACTTAGAGTGGCAAACGAGTACACGAGAAACAGTTAGGGAGTTGTGCAAATTAAAAGACAGTGACAAGAGAGACAATGAATCGAGATGGTTTTGGCAGGTGGAATTGATGAAGCATGTAACCGATACGAATGCCAGTCACATCAGGTTAGGTATAAATATACTCTAAATTTAGAGTCGGTCAGCCGTCGGTTGGCTGATTGACATGACTGAATTAACTGCATAAAACGGCAAACCGTGGCCATCTCCTAGTGTCAATCAAGTACGAGAATAAATAGAGTGAAAACGATTGAAAATTAGAAATCTTTAATTTCCTCGTTAGTCGGATAGGGCGTAAACGTAACCTCTTCTCGACTTCATATCTATTTTGAAGGGAAACTTTTACCCGGGGTGTTTCTGTAACTCACTTGAAGCACTCCGATGATGATGGAGCTAATCTGTGGCGATATGGTGCTGTTACTGCGTTTGAAGATTGACTCGGCGTAGAAGATGAGCACGTTGATGCCGGAGAACGACAAGAAACTGAGCAATCCCATGACGGCGATGGAAGCGCGCACCGTGGCCCTGGACGATATCAGGTCCTTGAACTTGCTGCTGCGATTTTGTTCTTCTTCGAGTTGCTGCTGAAGTTCCTCCAGTTCGCCGGCAATGTCGTATTCGGGTCCGCGCAACAACAGCAACGAGTGTTCGGCCTCTTTCCTCTTGCCCTTCCGCAACAAGAACGTGGGCGTTTCCGGGGCGATCAACAACACCAGGAAGAACATGATTACCGGTATGATACCACACAGGATGGCCAGTCCTTCGTAGGAAACGAACGGACCAATGCAGTACACGTACAGGATGCCCAGCGTCACTTTCACTTGGATGTAAGATCCCAGTTCACCTGCGAAAAAACCAAAAATAATCAACGTTGTTCACAAATTTTGGTTGTAAATGTAAAGTATAAACCAAACAAAAAAAGGGTTTTCTTTTAAAATAAATGTAATAGCAACACATATTTAAAAAACCTAAAATTGTTTAGCGAATAGTTTTTTAAAAGGCAATGACATTTTTTTCAAGTTCCGAGTGTTTATAATTTTGTCTTAATTATTTTTCATTTCGCTTTTAAAAAAAAAAATATTATTTTTAGACTGGCCATATTTATTCAGATTAGGTAAGGTTGACCAATAACACACGAAGTCTATAAAAGTAAGCAATTGGACTGGTTATTTAGTCAGAGATTATATTACAACAATAAAAAAAACACTAGGCTTTTGACACAAATCACAATGACGTATTAAAATTAGTAACAAAGTTCAATGCCCCGAAAAGGTCGTGTTCGCTACCTATTCCATAACAATATATGACCCCGTTCAGATAATCTCTTGACCTTTCACTGGCCGATGACGGAATTATACGTGTCAAATAGAGTGTTTAAAAAAAAACATGAATACAAATTTTGATTTGAAAATAAATCTAGCAATATGTAAAATAAAAATAGATTTGAATTTGTTTTTTGAGCACTGACGCGACGTTTCTACTACTTTTTTTTACAATTCACAAGCACAGCAAAAATATATGCTCTGTGGGTCGGTTATAATCAGATATTTATAAAGAAATGGACTTTTCCTCCCACACCTCCCGCCTATACAGCCTTGGGGTCAACATTGTTTGAAAAAGATGGTTCTATACCTATGGAATATAAATTGAAAAAGACATAGAAAAAATGTTTTTAGTGGTTATAACTTAGTTTTGTTTCTCCCATGAGATTTCCAAACCTTGACCCTCGGATCTCTTTCTTACCATCAGTCCATTTCTTTGGGGTTCGGTCATAGGTTCTCAGGTGATAACAAGGTTTCAAGTTATCACTCTGGTTAATGCCGACGTCCCGCATTGCCTCGCCCTTCTTGGTATTTTTTTTCGTGGCCAGGTTATAACCAAGTTAAACAATTTAAAGAATAATACTGTACGGGTGGCTGGGAACTTATGTCAGCTTACCACCCATTTGTCAAAAACTCGGCCAACTAGGGGGACTTTTTTTTCCATATTCGATAAACAGGTGGACAGTGAAACGTACCTCTTATAGAACTCTCGGCGATCTCTCCAATGTACATGGGCACGGTGGCAGTGACTCCTCCGATGACAGCGCCGGCTATCAGCCGGGCAATATAAAGTTCCATTACGGTTGTGGCCAGCAGGATCATTAGCCAGCTGATGATGAAAGGTACGGCCAGCGCGGCGATGGTGGGTCTCCTGCCGAAGATGTCGGCGCTCTTGCCGGCCGGTATGGATCCGATGATCGCACCGATGGCGATCAACGATCCAACCCAGGATCCCTCCTCCGCGGTGATCTTGAACCGCGGCGAGTCGTCCGACTCCAGCATGGGCAAAACCGGCGAAGTCCACGCCAGCACGGTGCCCACCGCAAACGGACCTATGGTCGCTGTGAACAGAAAGAAAACCAACCAATCAGTAAAGAACAGACAATTTTTTTTCACATTTCCATCGATAAAGATTACTACAAAAGCAGCAATATATCGCGTAGAGTTGGGTAAAAAATCTACACAGTTTGCAAGCATTATTAAAATAAATATATTCTCTCTGATAATATTTCAACTAAAAATAAGTAAATACAAACAATTTAAATAATAATTTAATTATTGACCGTTTTAAAAAAATAATTATACACGGAATGCCCAGAATATGATTCGTAGCAACTTTGGTGAGAACTATTGTAAAACGAGCTGTTTCTGAAAGTTAACGCCGTTAACACAACTTGACAATTCCAAGAAAATACAATATGAGCCACTTTTTTAATTTCCATTTAACTCGTAACGCCGCGTTCACTCATCTTATAACTCCTTCAAAAATTTCACCTTATCTTTAATCCACAGCGCTGGTTCCTAATAAAATGTTTTTTTGTTATGTGCGTTAAAGTAAATTGAGGGTTGCTATTAAAAAAAACTATGCATAATTTTCTAAAAAAAAAAAAACAAGATGGGCTTCCGCCGTTTTAAACGAACTAGGGTCAAACCCTATAAGATTCGATTTGCTGAAAAAAAGGTTAAAAGCTTTAAGCAAATTTCAATTAAATTAACATATATAATATTTATACGGTATTTGGCTAGCTAAACGGAAAAAAAATGCAAAGAACGGGCAATCGCAATGGCCTCGAAGACGGCTTCTTTGCTAATCTCTATTTAAATCCTGTCTTAGATGTTAAGTTCAATGAATTTATTAATAACGATTAAGCCGAACGCCCACGGGTTAAACGACCATCTCGACTGAACAGTAATAAAAACATTGTACTAGGTTGGTCCTGTCAGTATTCATCGTTACAAATTTAAACGTAGTGAGTAGTGACTTGCAAAACGAGTTTTGCGATCATCTCGGTTATTATTCCCAAGTCTTATTATTATAATAACATATTCATCACATATTATTAGTATCGTTCAAAGCGAAAAATGTTTGATGGCTTTGGTGAGCACAAAAACAGCACTACTGCTGTTAAATACGACTGTTTTACTATGGAGTTTTGTTTTTTCAAGATAACAACCGATAAGATTCGACAACGGTTCTAGCTATATTATTGTTTGACAGATTTGTTGTTTTTCTATAATATGTTTTTCAACTCAATGAAATAATATAAGAATAATAATAATATGAAAATATAAAAAAAATATTCAGCTCTCTCAAAATAATGCTAAAAAATTAGTATATAATTGGTTGTTCTCCCTAATAAGTTAAAATATTTTAATCTTAGCTTATATTGCTGTGTTTAAATTGTTTATTATTTGTATATTCTTGTTTCTCTTTTGTTGTTGTTAATTTGCTATATATGCACATAAATTTTAGTTAAGTTCTATAACTCTCTATCTCTAACACAAGCTTTTAGCTTACTAAAAGAGATAGATAATCATGCAAAAATTTTATATACTGAAATTTTGTAAGTTATGATGATTATAAAAAAAAAAAATATATAGACAACTGCAGACCGAACTCGAACATGAAAACGACCGAGTAGGTACGTTTAAAATATTAAACAGGAATATGCACACAGTCCCGGATTGTTATCTTTTTTATAGCTGCATAAGGGAATATCAATGTTTATTAATGTATGTAATATCTTTGTAAAATACATGAATTTGACTGGCTCCCTTTTTTTTAACATAAAAAATTTCGATGGAGAGGGAGGAAATAACAAAATTGTTGTTATCGCAAAAAAAAAACAGATGAACTGTCTCGACTGTCAATATAATATATATTTAATTTTTTAATGTGGGAGTAGTTAACATGTTTCTATATTTTAATCAGAACCATAGTAATTGCTGTGTTGTCGGGTCAGCTAGACTCGGGGGAGTAGGGGCAAATAAAATATCATATTTGGCAACGGCGAGCCGTGTCAAGTGTTTAAAAATATTTATCTCACAGTCCGGCGTGTACAGCTATGATGATATTATATATCTTAGAGTTTAGACGGTCTTTGGCGCAATCGCAAATTTGAAAAAACAACACAACACAAACAAAACCTGCATGTTTGCCGATAAGGAGGTTCTTGCCGATGTTGTATTAAAACATTATTATAAGTTACATACACTATACGTATGATACACACGATATGAAAAGTAATTTTGTCAAGTACTTAAATACGTGTCCTCGTCGTCGATTATTATTATTAATACCAGTAATATGCGCGTCTTGAAGCCACACTCTTATCTCACACACTCGGAGCAGGCGTGGCGAAATATTATTTGTTTTAACGAATTTATTTTTATTATTATCGTTTCGTCAGCCTAGTGGCGGATTTATTTTATTCGAACAACACCACAGCGGCGTTTGGATACGACAGGCATCACACATTTAGGCAAACGAGCCTTAAAGATTAATTGTTATCTTAACTCTTTTACAATTATCGTTTCGCGAGTACAATTTATTTACACAATATATATATATATATATTTTTTTAAATTAAAATTTACTACCGACTCCTCGATGCAAAGAAATAAGCGCTTTTACGGAAAATAAAAACCTTTGTGTTAATTTTTCCAAAACACTCGACTGTCGAAAACTTCACCGAACAAACCACCAGTGTGGAGGATCTGCCTCTGCTTGCGTTTGTTATAATAATATGATATAATATCTGAAAAATAGTATTCACATCAACCCTATTTTTCGGATCAGTTTATTCATTAATCGTTTCCCGGAAAACGTGTGAACGCAAGTACACCCAACGATAGGGTGTACTTGCGAAAATGGCGTACAGGACCGATGAGTTTATAACATTATAACTTTTTAATTACCTCGAAAAAAAAACGAAAATGTGAAATAATTTAAACTATCGGTTTACAATGGACGAGAGAGAGATTTACCCTCTAACTCCTAACCGATCAATGGGTATCGCATGGCCGGCTTTTTTGGACCATTTTTTTTTTACTGTTTTATTTTATTTGTTGGCCGTTCGGGATGCCAAGTAGATACTACACTGGTATAGATAGGTAAGAACAAGACGATTGGATGTCCCAAGTTTGAAACGGGAGGGGACAGACTCTATAAATAATCTTTGACCGAGAACGGTTGAAAAAATGACAATGTACAGATGTGGTCGCTGTGTACTTACACTGCTCCTGATCTGAACAAACCCGAGCACGACGATGAGCCGAGGTCGTCCGAGAACAACAAGAAGGAAAACAAAATATAATTTTTCAAAAAAAAAACCTTGACCTCGGCTCGGATTGAACGACCGACCACTGTTGGGCGCGTACGCACCACGTGAGCCGTTTGTGGCAGCAACCTTGTTCACATCTGAACCACATATTATATTATATTACATTGTTCAGTATCTTACTGTGGTAACTCGAGGTAGCAGAGTTGGGTTAGCCCAGCAAATTATTGGCATTTACTTAAGAATATTCGTTTTATAGGGTTTGTCGATACCTCGGAAAAACTTATCTGGGCCAGCACGGTGGAAAGGAACACAAAAAACCTCATTTTAAACAGCTTAAGCGTTGAAACAGAATATTATTATAAGGCCGTAGGAAATAATATCAGGCTACCGTCGGTCAATGAATAAACGGCGAACGCTGTGCCGGGAAAACGCAGACAGTGCGCGACACAATATTGGTAGGTCAAGGTCGAACGTTTTCCGGCCGCCCCCTCGACTCAAACGTTACCCTCCCCCCTCCATAACATTCACAACAACGATACACAATAATCGTTAACCACATGCGAAACACATCGAAAATGTTAAAAATCCACGCAGATTTATCCACTAACGCATTTCCCGTGTTCAAAAAAAAAAAAAAAAGAGTAATATACAATTATTATTACACACAACTCTTTCGCTTTTAAACAAAATTATATAGTTATGTCGATAAATGTATTTTGTAAGTTTGTGAAATGAACCACATCAAACGAACAAATCTCGGTATCGGAAAGTAATTATCATAAAAAAAATAAAAATCAATCCGAGGGTAGGACCAAACCGTTCAATCAGGGTTGATTATGGTCCTAAAATCATATTTACACACTAAATATGTCAACTAGAGATCATATTATAACATTTATCGATGCTGTTGTTTTTTTTTTATGTTATTTGGTACTTTTTCCTAAATTATTTTTAGGGTATAAATCTATAATATATTAGTGGCGTCCCAGTTGTAGAGTTTTGCCCACGAAGGTCTTTACATTTAGATAAAGTCACATCCGTGTACTTCATATTGTATTGTTAATTTTTCCAAGTCCTTTTTGAATAGTTCCAAGACGTTTTTTACGAGCAAAAATAATTATTATCATGACAAACTTTTAGCTATTAGTTACCACAAGAGAAAGGAAAACTTTTTTTAAGTTCCTTAAACACTGAAGCAGCCACGCAATGAAAAATGTACATAGTTTAATCGAAATCGAAATTTTCAAGCACTTAGTAGATATATATTAGAACCGCTAAACATTATTAAAAAAAAAATAATAATAATGAGTAGAAGACGCGAGCCGAACACCAAGGGAGCAGCAACAGCCAGCAGCAATAACGATAATTATTATTTTCAAACAAAGCGGGCATATTGTTCTAGCAGCCGGTAGTTTATACAATAGTGTATGTAGCTTATGTGACGGGGAGGTTTGTCGGACGCGTTGGTGTTGATATTACAGCGTGTAACGAAACAATCAATTAGCAATTGGAAGGCATATAGAAGTCAGACCATATCATTAAAAAAAAATACAACAGCATTAATGAGATATACAAAATATGTACTAAGACTATATTATATTATGGTGGTCGAATATCGTCGGGCAAACCGTACAAACGACGGTCGTTGATCGTGAGATCGCATTAAGTTATTGCGTTTGAAAAATCATCGTTGATTAATTACGGCAATTAAAAAATAATATCCTCACAAATACAAAACAATAATATTTACTAGTCCTGCGCACCGACCGAGCATACGT